TGCGCCAAGCATGTTTCTCATGCTGGGACTTAAATCGCACAGCTAGCTGTGTGGGATCCAGCCACCTTAACCACCATGCTACCAGTTGGCCCAGAAAAATAAGTTTTTGAAAATTAAATTCCCAAACTGGTATAAGTTAAAAAGTTTCCATAGCTTTAGCTGACGTCCTCTTTCCCCTCCCTTCTCACATGTACCAGAAAATGGGGAGGTGAAGAGGTGTAAAGCTATTAACTTGTTTAATCATTGTATTTTGTGATGTCAGAAACTAATTATTTTCTTTTTCTGCTATTTAGTGCTGGACCCATATTCTCCCTGCAAATGGGGAGGTGACTTGTTGGCAGTGAAAGAAAGAGGCCCAGTCCCCACGCTGGTCTGCAGAGGTGCACTGACGAGTGTCTGCTGGTCTCTCATGCAATGTCTATTGCTGGGGGCCTTGCTGGCCTCTAAAATCCATGCTATAGCTGGTGCTCCTGGGACACACTCCAGGAGTCGGGTGGATGTAGCACCTAAGGCCAACTGGCATCACCTCAGCGCTTTTGAGGTATCCCTGAGATTCCCGTGAGGGCTGCAGCTAGGTGGGACAGCCCCCACCAGAAAATTCAGTGCAGGCAGAAATGTCCCCATTATGGCATCTCCTCTTGCTAGCTCTGAGTCCTGTCCATGCCATACTGAGAACAACAGTGTTTCAGGCAGCCAAACCTGAAAGCCCACTGCCCTTGCTGTGCTAGCAAATCAACGTGGCTATGCCCATGTAGATGCAGGGTAATCTGAGATCTCTTCTTCCTGGGTCTCAAACAAAGCACAAGACAGGAACTTCTCCCTGCCTCCCAGTACCCCACTTATCTGATGCACTTCCTGCTCTCCGAGACAAAGCTCCAAACTACAAGACTCACATCTAACTACCTGTTTTTCCTTCTTCACTACTCATAGGGAGAAAGGAAGTCAGGTTTTCTTTATCTCCCTTACATATCTTCATTATTCCTGACTCAGGCTAAGGCTGACTGGTGACCAGGACACGTCCTTAAACTTTAGGAGGACCCTATGAGAGTCCCAACCTAAGCTAGAAACAGGAGAATAAAAAAATTTATAAAATTATCTCTCAAAACAATGTAAAACTATTAACTTGTTTAATCATTATATTTTGTGATGTCAGAAATTAAATATTTTCTTTTTCTGCAATTTAGTACTAGACCCATATTCTTCCTGCAAATGAATATCTCCCATAAACTATAGCAAAGTTCGTATGAGAAAGGCAAAAGACATGAGGCACATTAATAATTTTCCAAAGGCACATGAATAATTTTTCATTACAAATTTACAGCAGCCTCCATTAGAATAGACAGGTTTAGGGGCCACCAGGTAGTGTGGTGGTTAAGGATGCTGGACTCCTACATGGCCAACCACAGTTCAAGTCCCAGACCTGGTGGCTTGCCTTCTCACTTTCCGTCTCTCTCTCACCCTATTCCTCACTGGTCAAATTAAAATAAATAAATAAATAAATAAATAAATAAATAAAGTTAAATAAAATAACTATTTTTAAAAATGGACAAGTGTATTATAACATAATCACAGTCCAATACACATACACACACATATATACCCCTAAAATGCTTTTTGCCTTTGTACATGTTTCTACTAAAAATCTTACTTTTTCATTCCCTGATATCTGCTTGTAGGTCATCAACTCTGAATAATAAGGTAATAAAATATTCTAATTGTATTCTTACCTTTATTATGATATGATAGGAAAATCTTAAAGAACTACTTTTAGGAAGATTTTGCAGTTCTTAAAAATGACCAACAGAAGCCTGGAGCTGTGTGTACCTAATTTGGAACAGACAGCGAGCTATTTCTAGACAGTCTTTGTCAAGAACTTAATTCCATCCTATCTATATGTACAATCTGTTTCACTGGCCATTGTCATCCATGTATCATTCTAGGACCCACAGACATTGCCACATTTCTCCTACCCAAAATACTTCTAGAGCTCCACAGATGTTGCATAAGCGCATAAGTGCAGTGATCCTGTGGCCTCTGGAGTTTACTTCCTCCTTCTCTGATCCCCACATCCAAATTACAAGAGTAATGCATACTCGTTCTTAGAACTTCAAGGAGAACAGAAATATAAAACTTATCAAAGTCTCCCACAATCCCACCTGCCAAATATAATCACTGCTATCAAGTCTGGTGTGTGTCCTCAAGGTGAAATATTTATAGGTTCTGAAGAATCTGAATTCAGGGAACGAGCAGTTAGCATAATGGCTATGTCGCTGGACTCCCATGTAGTCGACCGCGGTTCGCGTCCCAGACCCGGTGGCTTAAATCTCACGCCAGGTGCATGTGCGTGTGTGCCCAAGATCCCGAGAGGAGAATGGAGGAGAAGGGACTGTGGCATGACCATCCCTCCTGGGGGGTGATTTCTCTCTTTCTGTCTCTATATCTCTGTCTGGCGAGCACACACGCCCTATAGCAAAAAAAAAAAAAAAGAATCTGAATTCAGAATGTAGTAGTAGCCATTTTGTCTAGAGGGGGAGGGTCTGGACCTAATAGCACTTCACACTTTGTTTTCATTCCCAATGTCATAATTAACTATACAGATAATTTATATATGTATATATATATATATATATATGGTTATTGAAGTTTATAATTGCTTGGAGCCCTAACTTCCACATCTGAGTAACAACCAGAGAACTTTTGGTCTGAATTTTAGCCTTCTTTTAGTGTGAACAGAGAACTTTTAATATAAAATACTTTCTGGGTCCTACTCATCACTTTCATAATGTCTTTTTCCTAGGAACATTGATTTGGGGTTTCCTGACTCCTTTTAGTACTTTTGATGTTGACATCAGATGACTGCCTCTATGTTCTTTTTTTTTTTTTTTAATTTTTTTTTTTTGGGGAGGTTTTTGCTATAGGGCGCGTGTGTTCACCAGAGAGAGACAGAGAGACAGAAAGCAAGAAATCACCCCCCAGGGGGGATGGCCATGCCGCAATCCCTTCTCCTCCATTCTCCTCTCGGGATCTTGGGCACACACGCGCCTGGCGTGAGTTTAAGCCACCAGGTCCAGGACTCGAACCGTGGTCGACTACGTGGGAGTCCAGCGACATAGCCATTACACTAACTGCTGGACCCATCTATGTTCTTAAGATAAAAAAACTTCCAGATTAAGAAAATTTGAGGCCAGGTGGTTGCATGGTGGTACTGCAATTGGACCTACATGGGAAAAGTCACATGTTCATATTCTGGGATCTCCCTCACCATGCCAGCTGAGACCTGGGGTGAATGGTGGCAAGAAGGCCCTGTTGGGTGTGTGTGTCTCTCTCTCCATCTCCCTCCCGTTCATGAAATAAATAAAAATAAACAATAACAAAAAATATTTTTAAAAAGAAAGAAATTTTAAGTCAGTTCTGGTTGTGTGATGTGTTAGAGCATGCTTGCTGGTGTTTAGACCTGATTCAAAGTAGATATGCTTGTGTCATCTTTTATATGATGTTGCCATTCAACAAGAATAGTCATGTGTCTATTATGAAAAGAGTCTGGGAAGATTTTCTCCTCTAATTTTGTAATTTAAATTTAATGATTATCAGATAAAGATTTATTTGTATATTTCTTATGTGCCAGATATAGCTTAAGGATAGGGAACCAGCAGTTAGCGTAATGGCTATGTCGCTGGACTCCCACGTAGTCGACCACGGTTCGTGTCCCGGACCCGGTGGCTTAAAACTCACACCGGGCGCGTGTGCGTGCGTGCCCAAGATCCCAAGAGGAGAATGGAGGAGAAGGGATTGCGGCGTGACCATCCCCCCTGGGGGTGATTTCTCGCTTTCTGTCTCTATGTCTCTCTCTGTCTGTCTGGCGAGCGCACGCGCCCTACAGTGAAAATCTCTCCAAAAAAAAAAAAAAAGAAAGGATAGAAATCTAGGGATCATCAGACAGCATGGTGGTTAGGGTGCTAGACTCCCACATGGTCGACCATGGTTCGAGTCCTGGATCTGGCAGCTTGCTCTCTCACTCCTCCCAGCCCCTCTCTCGGGAAGTGTATATGCCTTATAAGAATATTTAAAATAATAAAGAAAATTAAAAAAAAAAAAAGGAATCTAGGGTTAGCAGTTTAAGTGGAAGTTAAGGTGCTAGATCCCACATGGTCAGTTGCACAGTTCAAATTCCAGACCTGATGACTTGAAAAAAATCAGTCTGGCATGTGCCCAAAATCCCAAGGGGAAATTGAACTGCAGAGTGATCATTCCCCCTGGCGGGGGGGGGCAGGGGTGGGCCGGAGGTAGGTGATGATTTCTCACTCTGTCTCTTTCTGGCAAGTGCATGCATCCTATAGCAAAAAATTTAAAAATTAAAACAAAAAAAGAAAGAAAAGAAATCTAGGTTTGGCCCTGTTATTGATTAAAGGAGCTAGATCCCATCTGGCTGACCATGTAACTGGAATTCCAGTCCTCTCAGCTTAAAAAATATACCGGGTGTGTGTACATAATATAAATCCCACACAATAACCCAAATAGTAATATGAAGTCTGTTCAGCCCAAGTCAAAACTATTTGCCACTATCAGATGTGGAGTTCCCAATGAATTGTACCTCCCAGCATTCAGGCCCTAGAGTAACCTCCTTCAAACTTGCCTCTGAGCTTGGTCATGTGACTTGCTCTGGCCAAAGAGATATTGATAAGTGTGGCAAAAACAGAGGCTTTATAATGGTCCCACACTGCTGTATATTCTCTTGGGATGTCTACTCTCATCAGAAGAAAAAATCTGGCTACTTTGCAGGAGTGACAATATGAAATAGGAGAGGAATGGCTGGCCAGTCCCAAACTGTTTCAGCCATTGTAGCCAACGGACTAGAAATGTGAGGAAAAAAGCCACTGTGGATATTCCAGCCCTAGTAGCCACCATACTGAACAGAAGAACTACCCAGCTGAGCCTTGCCCAGATGATAGAACCCTGAGAAATAATAAATCACTGCTATTGTTTTCATTCACTATGTTTTGGTTGGTTTGTCATATAGCAATCAATAATGGAAAGGAGGATCAAACAGTCAGGTATCACTCTGGAAATTCACTCAAGCAGAAACGAGTTTGAGAGGGTGAAGAAACTGGAGCAGCGCTGTAGCAAAGGACAAGCTGTCGACACCTCTGACACTCTTCTCGGTACACTCTCTCCCTTTCATTTCCTTCTGTGAAGCTAACAGAAAAAAACATGGGCTATGAGTCAGATCTAGATTTGAATGTTGCCATTCCTAGTTGCTGGATGTTATTTTAAATAGGTTATTTAATCTCTCTAAGCCTCAATTTCCTCCTTTGCAAAATAAGCTTAAAAATAGTGCCTGACTCAAAGGTGAAAGGAGCCAAATGACAAAATAACTATGCCATCCTGAGCAGAGGCATATGGAAGAAAGTGGGGTGAAATAAACTGGTTGGTTAGGAACAGATTATAAAGGGCCAAGGACTTTTATTGTAAGCCAGAAAGTGTTAGGCTAAACATGGTATTTTGGAAAGTTAGTGTTTTAGTCCATTATTGTGTTGCTAACCAGAAATATTGGGTAGTCAGACAAATTGTGACATATTTTTCTATGCAAAAAATGCATCATGACTTTTCCAACAACCCAGTACCTGAGATTAGGTGATTTATAAAGAATAGAGATTTATTTGGCTCACAATTCTGGTAACTGAAAAGTCCAAAACCATGAGGCTGGCCATCTGTCTGGCTCCTGATCCTACATCACATTGCTTACAGAAGCAGAGAGGAAGGTGGGAGCGTGCAAAGAGAGAGAAATTTGCAGGGAGCCATCTTACTTTTGCAACCACCTGCTATTGTGGGCATTAACTCATTCCCACAAGACCAAGAACTGACTCCTTCCCATGAGACAGCATTAATCTATTTATCTAGTCATGGGGATGGTGCCCCAGTAATCCAAATATTGCTCACCTGACCCCACGTCCTAAAAGCCGCATCACCTCCCAACACTGCATTATGGACCAAATTTCCAGCACATGAGCCTCTGGAGACAAGCCATATCCAAACCATAGCCCTTAGTCTGACAAAACAGATGCAAAGGAGGAAACCTAAGAATTAGAGAATATCTGTTAGGAGATATTTCAAGTAATTTAATATGAGGTGATAGAGATCCAAGTAGTAAGGAGAACAGAAAAATATATAGCAAGACCAGTCCATGGTGTGTCAGAATCCCATTATGACTGTGCGGTTGAAGTCTCAATCTAGACAACTTGAAAAACAAACTGAGTGTGTGTGTGTGGGGGGGGGGGGGGGGAGTGCCTGAGATCCCAACAGAAAGGACAAATGGAGCAGAAGGGATTGTGGTATGACCACACCCTAGGTGTTTTCTCCTCTCTCTCATGTCTCTCTCTTTTAAACCAGTGTCCGTGCCCTCTGGCAAATTAAAAAGAAAAAAGAAACATCTTTGGGACAACTTTTGCCTATTCCAGGCTTATAAAGGTTGGGAAAGAATAATGTAACTGTGTCTCTGAGCAGATAGAGAGGATCTATATAAAGAAATCAAATCCATTCTATGGAGCCATTAATTATGATGCAAACCTAGATTCACTGTAAAGAAGTATGTTAATAATGCATTATTAACTAAAAAGAGCAGGTTTCAGGATCTTATAGAGAGTTAAATTCCATTTGCATGTTTTTTAGAGCTATGCACATAAATGCTGACAGGTCTATTTCTTTTTAAATTCCTAAAGGATTAACCAGAAATTGTTAGCCAGAAACTAGCTTTGAGGAGAGAAACTGGGGGTTCAGATGAAGAATGTGAGAGAGATTTGAAGCTCAGTTATGGTCCATGAGGCTTCATTACACTATTACTGCTACTCTTGTTCAGGCTTGAAATTTTCCATTAAAAATATTTTGGAGCCAGCAGGTGGTGAGGTGGTTAAGGCATTGGATTCCCATAAGGCTGACCATGGTTTGAGTCCCAGGCCCAGTGGCCTGAAAAACATGATGGGCATGTGTGTATTAGTGCCTAAACTCTCAAGAGGAGAAGGGATTACACTGTGGCTATCCCCCCTAGGGAGAAGGAAGATGTTCTGACTTTCCCTCTCTCTCTGGCAAGCACACATGCCCTATAGCAAAACTAAAATAAATAAACAAAAATTTTTTTTAAAAAGTCTTAAAGTAAGTCTGGTGGGCCAACCCTGTTGCCTATGGGTTAAGGTAGCCAGATTCCACATGGTCAGCTGTGGTTCATATCCTAGCCCCAAAGGCTTGATAAATTCACCAGGTACATATGACTGTGTGCCCAAAAATCCTGATAGGGTGAAGAAATAGAGAAGAGATTGTGGCATGACCATTACCCACTGGGGAGTGCTTTCTCCCTCTCCCTCTCTCTGTTGAGGAGTGCACACATTCTCTAGCAATTAGAAAAGGAAAAAAATAAAACAAAGTTTGGCTGCAGAGTGGAGGATGGAGAGGGGTCAACCTAGAAGCAGGAAGATTAGTCACAAAGTTAACATTGAAGTCCCTGTAAAAAGGGGAATTGCAGTTTGGGTCACAGTTAATACTAGGTTTCTCTATGTGAAAGATTTCAGGTGATTTTATGTTCATTTTTGTTTATCTGAACTTCTCATTTTCCCACAATGATCACATGTAACTTGAATACTTTCTTAGGTTCAAAGTCAATTTCACACTGCTCAGCGAGTCAGGATTACAGACTCCCAATGAGTTTCAAAATGTCTTGCTTAGTCTGAACAACTGCAACGTGAACTTGATGTGAAGTAAGTCAAAATCACTTTTTGAAGTTAGAAATTCAGCACCCTGATGAAATGAACACAATACTTTTGCCTCAGAGTGGTGCAATTGGGAGCACAGGAACTAGGATCATTGAAACCTGGCTTTGTACTTGCCAGCTACATGATCTTAGGAATGTCCTTTCTGATGTCTGAGCCTCATTGTTGTTTTCTGCTTCACTTGTATAATTGTCTGTTTATATAATAATTACTGAGTGCCAGGCACTTTTCAAGACACTGAAGATATGAAAGTCAATTAAACAGTAGCTTACATTCTAATGGAGAGAGGAAGATGATGAACAGAATAGGTAAACCATACAGACTATTCAAAAGTGGTAAATATTCTAGAGAAAACTAGAACAGAAACAGGCAGTGGGAGAAACGTGGAATTTTAAATAAAGTGGTTAGGAAAAACCCACCCAGGGAGCTACAGTTGAGCAATGACTTTCATTTGTAAAATTAGAAAATACTTACTTCATATGGTTGTTATAGGCCTTGTTAACACAGCATGGGCCTCACCTGAAAGCTTGTTAGGCGTGCAGAATCTCAGGTCTATCCCAGACCTACTGAATTGGAATCTGTATTTTAACAAGGTTCCCAGGTGATGGGTAAGCATATCAAAGTCTGAGAAGTATTCATTAAAAGGAGTAAATCTTGGGGGACCAGCCATTGGCATAATGGCTATGTCGCTGGACTCCCATGTAGTCAACCGTGGTTCAAGTCCCGGATCCAGTGGCTTAAATTTACGGCGGGCACGTGTGCGTGTGTGCCCAAGATCCCGAGGGGAGAATGGAGGGGAAGGGATTGCAGTGTGGCCGGCCGGCCATCCGTGCAAAAAACTCTCAAAAAAAAAAGGGGGGGGGGGAGTAAATCTTTCTGAGTGTCTGTACCAAAGCTGGCATATTAGATGCTAATAGATTTAAATATTCTTGGTTTTCTTTCTCTTAAAATGATCCTACATTTTTCTAGTTGTAATTAAAAATAAAGATAATATTGAGCTTCTCTTTAACTAATTATGAATGATGAGTACATCTTGCCATTACTTTTTTATGGCTGGAAAAGAAAGCCAATTGCAGACAGAAGACATGAGTATATTCAGCCAGCTGCTGTGGTGTAGTGGTAAGTCACATGGCCCTGCAGGTTCAGATTCCCAGAGCAGCCTAAAAACAGGCACCCAGGGAAGAGATGAAGGGCTGGGGAGAGGGGATCTTAGTATCATGAGACATAGCAAGCATGCTTTCTCTCTCTACTGCATGTAAGCTATCATAACAAAAAGAAAAAAAGATATTTTGCATGCAAACACTTAAAATCCTGACCATGGCAAAGGCACTCTTAAAAAAAATTTTTTTTAATTTGCCAGAGGCTGTATGGATTTGCTGGGGAAGAGGGGGGAGTGAGAATGCACTCTCTATGGCGCATGGTCTCATCATAATCCCTTCTCCATTTCTTCCTCCATTTGGGATTTTAGACGGACACACACACACACACACACACACACACACACACAAGTGTTTCTCGAGCTGCTGGATCCAGATCTCAAACCAAGAGGTCAACCATGTGGGATCTAATCACATTAATTAACCACTACTCCACAGGCTGGCTCCCAATCTAACCTTTAATCATGTTTTTATCACAGGTAAGAATGCAAGAGAGCCTGCATGTGGGTCTCCCTGATATTTAGAGATGGGCATCTGTCTTTTTTTTTTTTGGAGAGGTTTTTGCTATAGGGCGCCTGCGCTCACCAGCCAGACAGAGAGAGACAGACGGAAAGTGAGAAATCACCCCCCAGGGGGGATGGCCTCACCACAATCCCTTCTCCTCCGTTCTCCTCTCGGGATCTTGGGCATGCACGCACACACGCCGGGCGTGAGGTTGAAGCCCCCAGGTCCGGGACGCAAACCGCGGTCAACTACATGGGAATACAGCGACATAGCCATTACACTAACTGCTGGTCCCAAGATGGGCATCTATCTTAAAAGACTAAGAAGTCAAAATGTTGGGGAAAATACATTAGTGATACAGGACAGGTTAAAAAAAAAAAACTATTTAGATAGGACCCAAAAATAAATAAATAAAGTTGCTGAAATATTGTTTTTGTTAACACAAACAGCAACTTAAAATGAGACAAAATAGAGGCCAACATGGTGTTAAAGGCACTGGATTCCCACATGGCTGAACGCAGTTCCAGTCCTGGACGTGGCAGCTTTCTCTCTCTCTCTCTCTCCGGTCAAATTTTAAAATAACAAATGAAAATAAATAAATCTTTTTTTAAAAATGAGACAAAATAGGGGCTGACAGGTGGCATGATGGTTAGGGCATTGGGACTCCCACCTGGTCAACTGGAGTCCTGGTCCCAAACCTGGTGTTTTGTTTCTCTCATTTTCCCTTTCTCTCTTCTCTCTGGACAAATTTTAAATAATAATAATAATGAAAAAAATTTTTCTGGAGGCTTTTGACTTGGGACACGTGTGCTCCAGGGAAAGGGGGGCGGGACACAGTGGGAGGAAATCACCCCTGACAGGGCATGGTCACACCGCAGTCCGTTTCCCCCATCCTGCTGCCATGTCCGGGACATGCGCACTCACTGCTCAGTGTAATTTTCAAGTCACCTGTCCGGGACTCAAACCGCGGCCATGGGAGTCTAGCAACGTAACCGATACGCCATCTGCTGGCCCCGACAAATATTTTTTTTAATGAGACAAACCTGTATGAATTTTAAGGTAATTTGCCTCCTTCTGCAAATAAGCTCAAGTCGTCCACCTCCTACATTTCCCCCTTTAAATAGTCCTTTTTCCCTTTCCCGGCGAATAACAAAACATACTTCCTTATTGCCTTCCATCTTTCCTTCATCACCTATATAAATTTCAAGTTGAAAGGCGACTCCTACAGTTTCATGACACAGATTGCTTTGCCCAAGTTGCCATTACACAGTAAGTAACGCGAAGATGGGTAAAAACGTAAACATTGCAACGTTCATCATCTGCCAAGTGTCCATAGTAACGTCAGTAACGGCCAAGTCTACATTAAAAGCGTGCTCTAAGTGTTAGAAATGTTCAGTTCTCCTAAATTCCAGAAGATTTTACTGGATGCAAAAGAGAACAGTTCCTGGGTGGTGGAAATATAAGTTACTATTTATTCTTTCTGAGTAGTTTTTCCTTATTCTTCAAAGGGGGTAAGGAACTGAGGCGAAAAGCCGCTACAGGTGATGGTGCAGGCCCAACGCCAGGTCAAACTTTGTCAGCCTCCAGCGCCCCTTTAGTTTCAATTCAGAGAAACGCCAGCGTGCGACGCAGGCCGTCCCTCTCCCCGCACCAACATGGCGTCCGGTGACGCTCCCGGCACGCCGCGCGAGGCACTCTGGGAGCGGAAGCAGGAGGCCGCGCGGCGACTGCCGAACCGGAAGAGAAGGAGCGGGGCCTGGAGGATCCGGGGAGTTGCTGCCGTTGCCGGTGTTTGCGGTCGCAGGCAGCCGAGCCTGGCGGGCGGGGTGTGTCGCGATGCCAGAGCTGGCGGTGCAGAAGGTGGTGGTCCACCCGCTGGTGCTGCTCAGTGTGGTGGATCATTTTAACCGGTGAGCGGGCGGCACGAGGCGGCGTAGCGGGGCCCGCGCCCCCGCCGCTGCTGACTCACGGGCGCGCTAGGCATGGCGCGGCGGCCGCGGGCGGGCTAGGGACTTAGACAGGGGGCTGGTCAGGAGGCTTGAGGCCCCGCCTTGACGATGGGCACAGGCCATCCTCAGCTCTCAAGGCCGAACATCACCCAGCAACGCTCTAGCCGCCCCTCCGGGGCATGGGTAGCTTTGTTGGTTTTTCCGAAATCCGGGTGATACTGGAAAAAGGGAGGCAGGCTTCCTTTGGCCCTGACCCCCACCCCTAGGCTCGTGGCCATCTGTCACTTGGTCCGCCACTTTTCACCAAAATGTCTCGTCTCCTAAGAGAGCTTTTGAGACTCGCGTTTCTGTGTGTCTGAAAGCTATTGCCGAAATTTTGGTCTCAGTGGCCTGAAGGACTTCCTGTATGGGGTGTAGTTTCCACCCGTGAAAAATTCTAAGTGGGAATCTCGCTTGATGATAAATATAGACGATGCGTTTTTCTGTAAACGAGATTTTGGCATTAATGAGTAAGGTGCGAAAACGCCCCGCAGATCAATCGGTAAGTTCGTTGTTTGAGGATGTCCTGCCATCCTCTAGCTTTGGAGCTGTCCTTCCTGCTAGACCTGTTGCGCTTGTCCATAAGTTTTACAAGATAAAATTTGCGTTGGCAGATGTGAAGACCTACTTGGAAGCATCTGCGGTAGTCATAGCTGTCAAGTGCCTACTCTCCTGCAACTTGCTTTGTACAATTAATTAAATCACAGCCAAAAAGAAATTTAAGATTCAGTGAGGTTTAAGGTTCCCAGTTTTGTTCCATTGGTCTGTAGGGCTATCAGCCTAACAGGATATGTGAGCTTTTTCTACTGTACAATAATTACTGTTTTTCTCCTGTGAGATATTAGAAGTGCTAATGAAGCAGGAACTAATTGAGTTCTATCTAAACCAACACTTGTTAAAAACATAGTGCAGGCAAATGTTGCTAGCTGTTGGGTCACATAATAAGTTAGGGTTTTGAAAAACACAAATAGACTTTCAGAAGGAAAGGAAAGCCTGTGAGTGTGGACTTTTAAGTGTGAAAAGTCAATACTTGAAGTATATGAACTCATTGCTCCCCCAAAAAGAAAAAATCAGAGCTACCAACAGTACAGAATCCTTAACTTCATTTGATCTAAACCCCAAATTTAGAAAACATTTATATATTTGCTAAAATATATGTTAAGAAAATATTACAGTTAAACCAATGCAAAACCAGCAACTCTTAAGGAAATATAGTTCATGTCACAATGGCTTTCGTCTTTCCTTGGCATAGACTTGTATTGTTTCTGGAATCACATTTGCTAGTCATCAAAGAATTCTTGAAGACCTATGGAATGAAACTGTATAATTGAAATCCTTGTAGCTCCTTAGGACAAAATCACTGAGGAGATTTGAAATGAGGATAGCAGTTATAAAGAGTAAAATCTTACTCATTCAGCCTTTCAGTGTGATTAGTCACTGGCTCTCTTCTGATTTCTGCCTAACAAGCCAATCAGAGAGGTCCACAAATGCACACTCATGCCTCTGGGTCAGAATCGCTTTCTGAGCTTCTAGACTTACAAAGAATAAATTACATCTAGTGGGACTTACAGGCACAGATCAGATGAAAAATTGACAACACAGAAGCCAGGCCATAAAACTGGTTCCACTCCAGCATGTTTCATTGCTAAAAATTTGTGAATAGAAGGTGAGAAACATTTAAAAGAGAAAGGGAAGCCACAAAGGAAAAGGAAAGTTAAACATAGCATAACTTAAATGTATTTGTCACACACCAACAAAGTAACATTTCAAACCCTAAGTATGGGCCAACCCATGTTGTGGTGGTTAAAGTGACTGGATCTCACACAGCTGATGGTGCAGCTCCAGTCTCAGACCCAACTGCTTGAGAAATACACCAGGTGTGTGTGCGTGCATGCCCAAAATCCTGAGAAGAGAATGGAGAAGGGTTTGTGGTGCGGCCATCCCCTCTGGGGGATGCTTTCTTACTTTATTTCTGCCTTTGTCTCTGTCAAGGTATGTACCCTATAGCAAAACAGACAAACAAAAAAAAAACCGTAAGATCTGACTAATTTTCATTTTAATGTCAAGGGCTAACCTAATCCTATTATATTTGTTTAGGACCATTAGGTCCCAGGTAAATTAAATGCATTGCTATCATTGATATTTCCCATTGAGTATCTAATTGTTAGTCCATGTATCTGTGGGTACCTGTCATACAGACTGACCATCTGTTTTCTCATTTAGAATTGGCAAAGTTGGAAACCAGAAGCGCGTTGTCGGTGTACTTTTGGGGTCATGGCAAAAGAAAGTACTTGATGTATCCAACAGTTTTGCAGGTAAAAGACAAATTTTTACATTTTTTGAGCATGCTTAAAGTGTCTGTTTACTTTTAAAAAATAAACATTTGTTACTATTTTTATTACAGTCTACAGATTCTAATTCAGGATTTCTCGAGTATAGAAAAGAGACCCTAAAGACTACACGCTAGGTACCAGCAGTTAGCGTAATGGCTATGCCGCTGGACTCCCATGTAGTCAACCGCAGTTTGAGTCTCGCCCTGGTGGCTTAAAACTCACGCCAGGCGCGTGTGCATGCATGCCCAAGATCCCGAGAGGAGAATGGAGGAGAAGGGATTGCGGCGTGGCCATCCCCCCTGGGGGGTGATTTCTCGCTTTCTCTCTCTCTGTCTCTCTCTGTCTCTATCTGGCGAGCGCATACACCCTATAGCAAAAACCTCTCCAAAAAAAAAAAAAGACTACATACTAGAAATAGTAAATACAGTCAGCCCTCCGTATCCTTGTATCTCACAAATCAGAAATTCAAAAAACATTGGTTGCATCTGTCCTGAACTTGTATGTCATTTCCTAAACAATACCATATGACATCTATTTACATAGCATTGATATTTACATTCTACTAGGCATTATAAATAATATAAAGATGACTTAAAGTATATGAGAGGATATACATAGGTTGTCCAAATTCTGTGCCATTTTAAATAAGAGACGAGCATCTGCAGATCTGGGTGTCTAAGGGGAGGGCCCAGAATAAATCCCTCAATTGCAAGGGAAGACCGTTTTTTCTGTCTGGTTTTGACAGAGGGAAAGGGAGATAGTGAGAGACTTCCATGCCAGGTGGTCTCCATTGACTGCTCATCACTACAGTTGTACTGCAAAAGCAGTTGTAGACAGTATGTAAACAGATGAGTGGCTGTATTCCAGTAAAACTATAAAAACAGGCAGATGGTGTACTTATCAATTCCTACACTAAATTTTTAACCATGGTTCTGGTAGGACAGAGGGAGAGATGAGGTACTTTACTTTTTTACTTGTATCTTGAATCTTTACAAGAACATATCTATGTGGAATTTTTATGATTAAAGCACAACAATGAAAAAAAGAATAGTTGCTGGCATGACCTCTGAACTGGAGGTCATTAACTCCAGTGTCTATAAGAATCAGCCAGTAATTTGATTTGACAAATGGCAAATAGCCAGGAAAAGGTGGAGCTTTTAGCCAAGTGGAGAACACATGTCCTTCTTAAAGGAGGCAGCCTCTATCTGGCATAGCCAATAGTAGCCAGGTCTCCCAGTAAAAAAGTAATTTTAATACTGTGTTGGACAAAACCAGTATGTAAGTGCATCAGATCTGGCCTGGGTCTCTCCTTATGACCTATGCTCTAGATTTCTATCCACCACCCTCAACTAAATCTTACTTTTTTTTTCTCTCTTTAGTCCCTTTTGATGAAGATGATAAAGATGATTCTGTCTGGTTTTTAGACCATGATTATTTGGAAAACATGTATGGAATGTTTAAGAAGGTCAATGGTACGTCTTGATTTTATAAGAAGGTGTTAGAGCATGGCATCGATGTGTATGTATATATGTGGCTTTTTTTCCTTTTTTTAAAAAAAATCTTTTTTCCTTTTCTCTAATATCAAGGACCCTTTCACTTTCCTATACTTACTTAGGACTATTGGTAATAGAGGAGAGAGGTAGAATGCTCTTAGTTTGTTACTAGAGTAGCAATTTAAGACCAGGTAAAGACCACGTAGGTTTGGGCAATGAGGCTGTTAGTCCTCTGATTGCAGCAGAAAGGTGGAAACTATTCAAATAAAATCCACCTGCCCCTAGAGCATTAATACCAGTAGGGTCAGCACATCTCTTTGACACATGTACAGTAGCCACATTGCTTTCGGAATGTTTCTTCCTGCAGCATTCACAGTTATTTATGTGATAGCAACTTGCATTTGTTTATAGTCTTTGAATTGGTTTGTGGTTGTTTCACATACACCTGACTGATCTAATGAAACTGGGATATAAATGTCTAGATTTCATACACTGCTTATTTTCTGAGAACTCTGTTTTTGAATGTTATATTTCATAAGTATGTTAAGGTTTAAAATAGATACCTGAGGGGCCAACAGGTGGTACGGTGGTTAAGTCACTGGACTCCCACATAGGTGACTGTAGGTCGAGTCTCGGACCCAGTGGCTTCAAACTCAGGCCAGGCACATGTGCATGTGTTCCCAAGATCCTGAGAGGAGAATGAAGGAGAAGGGATTGTGGTGTGGCCATCCTCCCTGGGGGGTGATTTCTTACCTTCTTTCTCCGTCTCTTCCTATCTGTCTCTCTGGCAAGTACAAGCACCCTTTGGCAAAAACCTAAACATTAATTAATGAAATAAAATAAAATAAATACCTAAAATTTTCAAAAGGCTGATGACATACCTACCAATAATCCTTTTTGAGGGAGCTAAGTAGATATTGACAAAACAGTCAAAACCCACTATTTTTTCTTCCCAGCCAGAGAAAGAATAGTTGGATGGTACCACACAGGCCCTAAATTACACAAGAATGACATCGCCATCAATGAACTCATGAAAAGATACTGCCCTAACTCAGTAAGTGCTCTGTATTTTCAAAACTTTTGAATCATATTCTCTGCCAGTCAACCCAAGTGAGATCATCTGAGGAAGGATCTGAATAGTGAATCCATTCACTCCTTTTTCTCTATATGCTTTTTGTGTTAATGCCTAGCCTTCTATAGAGTACACTATAACAAAGTATATAGTGAATGATAGTTAACACCTGCTAAGTGCTAGGTATGTGGATTATTTTACTTAACACCATCAATAACACTGTAAGTTTATAAATGAGAAAACTGAAGTTTGGAATGGTTAGTAAAGTCTGGTAAATAGTGGGACTGGGACTGAAATTATTACTTTCTTAACTCATTTCCTTCTGCTTAATAACCACATTATACTAAGCTTAGTGGAGGGGGGTAAAGAACACAGAAAATGATGATTTCATTTAAAATATATACTCATTTTTGCTAAAAATTCTGTTCTGATTCTTATTGAATCAATGAAATAGCTTTAACAATCATCACCAAGACCCAGCCTCAGGGACCCAGGCAGTAGTGTGTTACTCTGCTGCTAGAAGCCTGTTGGCTAATCATGGGTTCTGATTTTGAGTCACTCTGAAACATGCCAGGTGCATGTGCCCAAGATCCTGACTAGCTGGAGGACCAGGAGGCAGGGGATCATGATGTGATGAGACACTTAAAGAGGTGTCTGTCAGTGTGGTCTGTCTCTCCTCTCTCTTTTTTTTTTTAAGACTTTTTAAAAAATCAGAAGAAAGAAGAATGACTGGAATTAAGCCTTTCGTGTTGAGTGTAAGGTGGTTTGTTAAGATGTGTCTCTTTCTAGGTATTGGTCATTATTGACGTGAAACCAAAGGACTTGGGGCTGCCCACAGAAGCGTACATTTCAGTGGAAGAAGTTCATGATGTAAGTCATCTTGCTGAAAGCCAAAGAAACTCGATTTGTAACTTAACTGGGTGATTATTTTTTCTTTCTCCCATTTTCAAAGTCAACAAATCCTTTATCTCCACAACAAAGAAAAGGTGGTTGATTCTATTCACAATTTGATCTTAAGGTTTTTTTCCCTTTGACTATTTGAATTATCAAATTTTAGAAATAGGACCATGGACACCTAAAGTCCCCTTTTAAGTGAAATTGAAGCCCAAAGTAGTCAAATAGTTGTCCAGAGATAATGACAGCAAAGGAAATGCAGAGCCTAGTCTTAGAATATATTGTCCACTCCCAAGTCTCTTCTGTGTCCTGCTATTTTCTCTCTGAAGCTATTCAGTCCCTACACACTAGATCATAGATTTTCAAGAGCTAAATGGCAGAACCTATCTGGTGGTCATTTGAACGTTCAACTCTACAGCATCCTGTGTCCGCCATATGAGTCATTAGATTGTTCTTTGGGTATAAAAGTGAAGAACTGCCATGATTTAGCTTTTCTCTATTTTAAGAAAGTTGAACTCAAGCTGTAGGACAGAACTCAATGTAAAACGTGTACATTGTGTGGCATTTTGTTATGAACATCGTGTACTTGGGTATCCATTGATGAGCCCAAACCAAAATTTCCAAAGTCAAGAATTTGAGGGATGGATTTCAGTCTGCTTTTGGATTTAAATGTGTAGTTTTCAAATTTGGAAAAGGGTATTTTAGGTTAGCTCCCTGGAAATAGTCCTTATACTGAGCCCTATCCTCCTGTTTTTCTTTCACCCAGTTACCAGGAGCTTAGAAACAAATTTATTGCTTAATTACAATAAGGCTTTCATCCCTGGTCTTGAGCTACTTGTTTTTAGTTCATTTTTACTCTGCCTCTTAGGGAGGTAAAGGTTTCTCTCTCACACTGGTGACACAAGGTATCTTCTTAGTAGGGGATTAAAGAGATCATATTATAAGAGGATAGGGAAAAGACTTGCCATGAAGTTCTGTATGATTGTGAAAGGCTCTGACCATCCTAGCATCCAAAGCAAAGAGGAGAATGCCTCTTAAGGATTCATACTGCCTTGACTAAAATAACAAAAGCTAACGCATTCAACGTGAGTTAAGTGATTTGCCCAAGGTTCTCCAGTTCCCTTATGGAACATGGCAGAGCCAGAGTTTCAATCCAGGCCATCTAGCTATAGAACCTGTGCTCTCACTGCCATGCCGTCCTGTTCCTCAGACCTTTCAACAGCCTTCATAGGAGATGCACAGCCTCTTCTGGCAACAGGTCTGAGAAGAGTGTCTCCTGAGTCCCATCAGAAGGTCACTACAGCAAACCACAATCGAAATATCATTTGATCCAAGGGATAATAGGTGATTAAAAGTTATATTTTCTGGCATAAGCTAAATATAAGTATTCCATGTATTATCCATTCTAGAAAGAACTATGTGCTTTAAAAATCAACATGAGACTTCTCTGAGTGTTCATCCCCAATGTGAACTTGAAAGAAGATTATGAAGATTTTTTTTTTTAAATGATTTTTCTCAGAAAACAATTTAGTGGCCAATACAGACAGGTTAATAATGATGTCCCAGAAGACCTCATCACTGGCTACCACTGCAGTGATTTTAGTTTCAAAGGCTAAGCTTCAAAGCACACATTTCCTACCTTAGCTGTGGAACACTGAGTAATACACCCATGAAATGAGCTGACTTAAAGCAGAAGACTCAAGGTGGGAAAAGGAACACCAGTTAGTGTATTGTAAGGCAATAACTACAGTTACGCCTTCTCTCCCAGGATGGAACTCCAACCTCGAAGACATTTGAGCACGTGACCAGTGAAATTGGGGCGGAAGAAGCTGAAGAAGTTGGAGTTGAACACTTATTACGGTGAGTTTCTAGCTTAGCATCAGAATCACGAGCTACCTAAGAACCTGTGGATGTAAGAACGTGATCTGTATCAGGAGGATGGAGACCTGGCTCTTGTCTTTGGTTATCCACTAATGATTATTCTGAACAAATCACAGTCCTTTTCTGGACCTTTGTTTTTGATAAATGGAGGTTACTGAACTACATCACCTCTAAAGTGTGGAGTTACAATTTATGACTGCATAGCACACCTCATCTGGAACCTGTAAAGTTGTGACAAGAGCAGGTTTGTTAAATCTGTGTTGGCCTCTGCTCCCCACTGGATGCCCTTCCCAACAGTGTAGCCCATTTTCTGCAGAAACCCTTCATCTTAGGAAGGGCGAGCTTTCTTTTATAATCTTCTGCCTATATAATCTTCTGCCTATATAATCTTTATTTGAAAAGGTCATACATAGTTTTTATTAACCAGTGAGGTTCCTTCCAGTTCAAAAAATTACTACTCACTGATTTAAGCTTCTCAAAACATCCTAGAGACGCAGGTAGGAAAAATTGCGTTCTTTACATAAAGAGAGGAGTTGAGGTAGAGAGCTTAATACAGTTACCCAGAAAATTAGTGGCAGATCTGGACTGTTAACCCAACAGTCTTTGATTTTTGTTTTTAAGTAAAAATTATTTCATTTTATAATAGCTCTCTCATAATCATCTTTTGAAAAATATGCCCTGTGATGAGAAAGATAAAATATGTGCCACCAAATGAAAATAAAATTAAGGTAATGTACACCCAATTCTATCATATGGTGAAGTAACATTTTTCTTTTGAAAATTTGCCCTTCCTTACAAAGCTGGCTATTTTCTTAGCCTGTGAGAACCTACATGAAGTGTGAGACCTGATGCTTTTTCCTCTTGTGGGTTATTATAGAGACATCAAAGACACTACAGTTGGCCCTCTTCCCCAGCGAATCACAAACCAGGTCCATGGTTTGAAGGGACTGAACTCCAAGCTTCTGGATATCAGGAGCTACCTGGAAAAAGTAGCCACGGGCAAGCTGCCCATCAACCACCAGATCATCTACCAACTGCAGGATGTCTTCAACCTGCTACCAGACGTCAGCCTGCAGGAGTTTGTCAAGGCCTTTTACCTGAAAACCAACGACCAGATGGTGGTGGTGTACTTGGCCTCGTTGATCCGTTCTGTGGTCGCCCTACACAACCTCATCAACAACAAGATTGCCAACCGGGATGCAGAAAAGAAAGAAGGGCAGGAAAAAGAAGAGAGCAAAAAGGATAGAAAGGATGACAAGGAGAAAGATAAAGATAAGGAAAAAAGTGATGTAAAGAAAGAAGAGAAAAAGGAAAAAAAGTAAAACCTGTAGCTTTTTTAATTTGTAAATTAAAATCTTATAAACTAAATCAGTGTGCCGCTAGAGAGTTCTTTTCCACTTTAAGTGCTTGTTACAAGCTGTCTTGAGAGCTCTCTGCCTCTGGTCACACTCACTGTGGCATTACACGGAAGTGGATGGATAGAGGGACTGACCTTGAACCTAAACCACGGGTTCAGCTGCTGTGGGGGACGTGATAGCTCAGGCTTCAGATTGTGTGAGAAAAGTGAAGAGATGTCAACATAACATTTTTGGTACTCTTCATTCTTGACCTATACAACCAGAAGTGGGATTTCCCCCACCTTAAAGACTCTTGGGGTCTGTTTCCGGTAATTTGCAAAATGGAATGCATGAATTCCATTTATTCTCTGCCTCATAACACCTTTTGAGTTCTGATGGCCCTTCTGAACTCTTGAGAAAACCGCACCATGTTTTGGACCTGTAGCTCTGGCATTCTCAGGGCTTGAGATCCAGCTCTACGTATTGTTTACCTTCAAAGACACAATTAAATGGCTTGGTTTTTAAGTCTGTGTTCTAGTCGTTTTTTACTTTGGGAGTAGTCTGTTTTCAGAAGCAGCTAAGACAATCTTTCATTGAAGCTGCCCAAAATAATTTAGACTTAGTGTCTTTTATGAGTCATTCCTTTAAATATAAACAGGGAGACTGTTCTAGTGGGGTGCATCTTAGCCCTCACGTGTGACGTGGTAGGTTCAAGCAGGTCAGCTCTGAAGTCCCTAGAACAGTTTTTCAAAAGAGACATGTTCTTTACCACTCCTACAGGACTTAAGTACTTATCAGTCCCCAAGGTTAACTGGAATGTTACAAAGAAGAATGCAGTTTCCCCAAAGTAAGTGTACAGGACTTGTAGCAGAACAAATTAAACAAGGTACTTACATCATTTGACATGGAATATTCACTCAGATGTTAATTTCCATTCTTGGGCATTTAGCACATCCTTTAGAGTTTGTCAGTGCATCATGCAGATTGCCAACAGTCTTAAGATGGGAATTCTAAATGACTTTTGTTATTTTTTTAAAACACTGAAAAAGTATCCTGGGAAAGTCTGTGTGCAGATCTGTTCCATAGCTGTACATTAGCCTCTCCATTTCCCAACACCCTCAGAGTGTGTGTTAAAGAATTCAGCCTCCTCCTACATTACAGAGAAAATTATTTACTCCTCATGGGGTTTCTGTTTGAAAACATTTGAAATACCACTAAACTGATAGAGTAATTATTTAATGAAACAAGGAAGTTGTCAGGATTGGAATGAGCTCTGGGCCAACCAATTATTGGGACTTTGGTAAAGTCATGCCACATTTTTGTGTAGAAAAATGGGCAAATGTGGCATGACTTTCCCAATAACCCAATAGTTAAATGTTCTTTAGTTCTACCATTAATTGCTAAAGGGACAAAAGAAAAGTAATCTACCATTATTATTTCTCAAACTTGCTACATGCAATAAAACCTTTTTATTTATAGCAGAAGTTAGAGATCTAGAATTTTACAACTTTTAGAGGACCCTTTAGCTGTTAGAATTCAAGCAGATACAAGAGAAATACCCCATCACTGGGAAGTTATGAACAGGACTTGTGCCATTTTCCTGCAAAAAATGCCTGTAGGGACCAGCAGTTAGCGTAATGGCTATGTCGCTGGACTCCCACATAGTCGACCACAGTTCACATCCCGGACCCAGTGGCTTAAAACCTTTCCCAGCGAATCACAAACCAGGTCCATGGTTTGAAGGGACTGAACTCCAAGCTTCTGGATATCAGGAGCTACCTGGAAAAAGTAGCCACGGGCAAGCTGCCCATCAACCACCAGATCATCTACCAACTGCAGGATGTCTTCAACCTGCTACCAGACGTCAGCCTGCAGGAGTTTGTCAAGGCCTTTTACCTGAAAACCAACGACCAGATGGTGGTGGTGTACTTGGCCTCGTTGATCCGTTCTGTGGTCGCCCTACACAACCTCATCAACAACAAGATTGCCAACCGGGATGCAGAAAAGAAAGAAGGGCAGGAAAAAGAAGAGAGCAAAAAGGATAGAAAGGATGACAAGGAGAAAGATAAAGATAAGGAAAAAAGTGATGTAAAGAAAGAAGAGAAAAAGGAAAAAAAGTAAAACCTGTAGCTTTTTTAATTTGTAAATTAAAATCTTATAAACTAAATCAGTGTGCCGCTAGAGAGTTCTTTTCCACTTTAAGTGCTTGTTACAAGCTGTCTTGAGAGCTCTCTGCCTCTGGTCACACTCACTGTGGCATTACACGGAAGTGGATGGATAGAGGGACTGACCTTGAACCTAAACCACGGGTTCAGCTGCTGTGGGGGACGTGATAGCTCAGGCTTCAGATTGTGTGAGAAAAGTGAAGAGATGTCAACATAACATTTTTGGTACTCTTCATTCTTGACCTATACAACCAGAAGTGGGATTTCCCCCACCTTAAAGACTCTTGGGGTCTGTTTCCGGTAATTTGCAAAATGGAATGCATGAATTCCATTTATTCTCTGCCTCATAACACCTTTTGAGTTCTGATGGCCCTTCTGAACTCTTGAGAAAACCGCACCATGTTTTGGACCTGTAGCTCTGGCATTCTCAGGGCTTGAGATCCAGCTCTACGTATTGTTTACCTTCAAAGACACAATTAAATGGCTTGGTTTTTAAGTCTGTGTTCTAGTCGTTTTTTACTTTGGGAGTAGTCTGTTTTCAGAAGCAGCTAAGACAATCTTTCATTGAAGCTGCCCAAAATAATTTAGACTTAGTGTCTTTTATGAGTCATTCCTTTAAATATAAACAGGGAGACTGTTCTAGTGGGGTGCATCTTAGCCCTCACGTGTGACGTGGTAGGTTCAAGCAGGTCAGCTCTGAAGTCCCTAGAACAGTTTTTCAAAAGAGACATGTTCTTTACCACTCCTACAGGACTTAAGTACTTATCAGTCCCCAAGGTTAACTGGAATGTTACAAAGAAGAATGCAGTTTCCCCAAAGTAAGTGTACAGGACTTGTAGCAGAACAAATTAAACAAGGTACTTACATCATTTGACATGGAATATTCACTCAGATGTTAATTTCCATTCTTGGGCATTTAGCACATCCTTTAGAGTTTGTCAGTGCATCATGCAGATTGCCAACAGTCTTAAGATGGGAATTCTAAATGACTTTTGTTATTTTTTTAAAACACTGAAAAAGTATCCTGGGAAAGTCTGTGTGCAGATCTGTTCCATAGCTGTACATTAGCCTCTCCATTTCCCAACACCCTCAGAGTGTGTGTTAAAGAATTCAGCCTCCTCCTACATTACAGAGAAAATTATTTACTCCTCATGGGGTTTCTGTTTGAAAACATTTGAAATACCACTAAACTGATAGAGTAATTATTTAATGAAACAAGGAAGTTGTCAGGATTGGAATGAGCTCTGGGCCAACCAATTATTGGGACTTTGGTAAAGTCATGCCACATTTTTGTGTAGAAAAATGGGCAAATGTGGCATGACTTTCCCAATAACCCAATAGTTAAATGTTCTTTAGTTCTACCATTAATTGCTAAAGGGACAAAAGAAAAGTAATCTACCATTATTATTTCTCAAACTTGCTACATGCAATAAAACCTTTTTATTTATAGCAGAAGTTAGAGATCTAGAATTTTACAACTTTTAGAGGACCCTTTAGCTGTTAGAATTCAAGCAGATACAAGAGAAATACCCCATCACTGGGAAGTTATGAACAGGACTTGTGCCATTTTCCTGCAAAAAATGCCTGTAGGGACCAGCAGTTAGCGTAATGGCTATGTCGCTGGACTCCCACATAGTCGACCACAGTTCACATCCCGGACCCAGTGGCTTAAAACTCAAACCAGGCACGTGTGCGTGCGTGCCCAAGATCCCGAGAGGAGAATGGAGGAGAGGGGATTGTGGTGTGGGCCATTCCCCCTGGGGGGGTGATTTCTTGCTTTCTGTCTCTCTGTCTCTCTCTGGCGAGCGCAAACGCCCTATAGCGAAAACCTCTCAAAAAAAAAAAAAAAAAAAGCCCTGAAAAGCAGAAAAAAAACTTAAAGGGAACAAAAAAAAAAAAAAAAAATGCCTGTAAAGCAGAAATAAAACTTGAAGGGACCAGCAGTTGGCATAATGGTTATGTCAATGGACTCCCATGTAGTCAACTATGGTTCAGGTCCCAGACCCAGTGGCTTAAACTCAGGCCGGGTGCATGTGTGTGCATGCCGAAAATCCCGAGAGGAGAATGGAGGAGAAGGGATTGCGGTGTGGCCATTCCCCCTGGGGAGTGATTTCTCACTTTCTGTCTGTCTCTCTCTGGCAAGCACAAGCACCTTCTAGCAAAAAACTCTCAAAAATAAAAAATAAAACTTGAGAATGAATTAGTGGTTGGTTAAACTACAAGGTGCTAAAAAAACTACATCACCTCCCTGTCTCAAGAAAGGATATGCAACATGCTGGGAATGTGGAAAAACATCTGATTTATATGACCCACAAGAAAAAATTTTTACAGCTTCCTGAAGTAAATTCATTCCTAATTAATAATACAGACAAGTAAATACTGTAGACACTATAAATACTGATTTGCTTAGAAATGTTTCTCGACTCAGTGGGATTATACCCAGTATATCCATCACAAACTTAACATCCTAAGTGGAAAATGCATTTAATACACCTAACTTGCCAAACATCAAAGCTTATCGTTGCCTACTTTAAACATTAGCCTATGGTCGGGCAGTATCATCTACACATTGCCTATTTTACAATATAGTGCTAAATACCTCACGTTGTCTTTTGTGCTGTACTAAAAGTGAAAAACAATGTATGGATACTCACCATTAACATATACATCTGAAAGCACCGTCATAAAATCTAAAAATCCTAATCAAACCACTGCAAAGTCAGGACCATCTGTATCCCTATGTCAGGCGATACTTGGCACCATCAGTTTTTACCTAGGAGCAACACAGTTTTGTTGTTTTAATTATTTTTGCTCAGGGAGTAGATAAAAATAGACTCAGAAAGTAGAGGGATTAGGGGCCGGCAGGTGGCATGGTGGTTAAGGGCACTGGATTCCCACATGGCTGACCATGGTTCAAATCCTGGACCTGGAGGTTTGCTTTCGCACTTTCCTTCTCTCTCTCTGTCCCTCTCTGGTCAAATTTAAATAAATAAAGTTAAATTTTAAAAATAATAATTTTTTAAAAAGAAAGTAGAGGAATTAGAATGGGGAAAGAAAATAAAGGAAAATGGAAGAAGAAACCAAGTTGTTTCAGGGCTTAAATTTTAAAAAGGATCTTTTTTTTAATCATTCTTCTTTGGAGGAATGTTCTTCAACACTAGGTGGCATCGCTGACTAATATCTGTTGGTAAGAAAAATATTTGATTCCCATTTCAGCATAAAATTGGGAACCTCCCTCCAAAGTTGCTTTGTGCAACTTCTACTTTTGGCTGCAACCATCCAGGCGAGATTTTCAAGGACTCCAGAAAGAGTATCAATGCAAACAGATTGGGCCAAGCTACCGCACTTGCACTCGTTGCT